TAACAAAAAATATTGGTGACGACTCCCTAAAATCCATATCTAATTATAGGTCTACGGATCTATATATTATGACACTCTCTATTTGTATAGTTTTCCTTAGATCATGTGGATCATGTGAATCATGTTGAAAGAATAGTATTTGTTTTTAACATGTAACAATAATATTTACTAAAAAATTTAAAGTTTAATTTAGATAATTCGTACAAGACACTTTTAAAAAATAGGCATCTAGTAAGTTTCACCACCAAAAAATTGATTTTTACCTTACAAAATTTTCCTTCAATAATAGCATGTTTTCTGTTAATAATAGTATTATTGATGAAATTTTTCATCAATAATAAATAAGTTGGTAATACTATTCCATCGATAATGTGTAAAATCCATAAATAATTATCAATGGAATTATCCGTTGGTAAATTCCGTTGGTAATAATTTGGTTGATAATTAGGTAATAATCCGTCGATAAAATCCATTGGTAATATTTATTTTTCAACTATATTTAATATATTTTATTTATAATTTTATTTATTTTATTTTAGTTTTTTAATTTATTTTTAAAGTAATTACATGAATACTAAATATATATAAATAGAAAAAAATAAATAAACAAAATACTCCATTTTATTTATAAAAGAATTTACAATATTTTATAAAATTGTTTATGAATTCTATTAAATAAAAATACAAAAAATACATATATATTACAAATTCTATACAAATAGTTGGTAATATACGTAAGTCATATAAATAAATACTTTCAATATACAATAATAAAAATACCTACAAAATAAATAAAAAAAGTTAAATTATAAAGAAAATAGGAACTTGTTAGTGAAATAATGAGAAAAGGAAAAAGAATTGCAGAGAATATGGCTAAAAATCAACGACCAGTGGAGAGAACATCACTGCGAAAACTGGTCCTTTATTACTGATACACCATGTTTGTAGGTAGTAGACTAATGCTGAGAGCACAACTCCCTGTAACAAATACCATTATGAGCAAAATCTTGCAGAGAATCAACTATGCAAGCTACTAGCCTTGTCACATTCAATTTCTCTTTTCTTTTTTTAAGTAAACATGAGCTATTCATTAAACAAATAAATGAAAAAACACAGAATGTGCAATAAAAACACATCCAGAAATGCAACTAATAAGCTCTGAAATATAACAAGGAAAATCTTATGATTTATGAGACAAGATTATATTGCCTACAGGGGATAAAAAGATTTCAATAGCAACACTTTAGAATTGAAAAAAAAAATTTCGAAAGATTATATATATGAGTTTAAAAAGAGGTTGTACTCTCTTGTATGAGTATAAGAACCATTAAATGCGTGAGAGTAACTATAGTATCAATTACCGCTTGTAAGAATATGGCTTTGCAAATTTTCACTTGGCCACACAATTTTCCTCATCAAGCAAAGATTACAGAACCACCACAACTGAAGTTGCCAAAGACCAATAAAAATGGTCTGCCATCTGATGTGATCTGATCCTCTAAATTGCCTTAATACAAAGGCTACAATGTTTCCAAGTTACATGACAATTTCTCTGAAATAAGAACAAAGAAACCTATATGATCCCAGTTAGTAAATTCTTGTCCCATGAAAACTAAATTTAATGTTTACTGCATCAAATTAAGGCCAATAAAAATCCTCAATCAAAGATTATCAATTCCTAATATTAACAGCATTTTCAAAGGGGGGACCTAACAAAAGTGTGGCAATCATGTGACGGTATCCCTTTCCAATCATTGTGCTTTACCACTTTAATCTTTATTCGATCAATTAACTTCATCATTACAAAATAGATACCTTTGCATTTAGGTTATACCATTGCATTTAGTCTAGCTAGCTATGTCCTCAATTGGGAACCAACTTTTAAAAGGTTGCTCAAATGACTTAACTTTTGATAAACTGTAACAATTAAGGTTCTAACTGTAACAAAACTGTAATGCCGAATCAGATAATGATGTATCCTACTTGGCATCGTAATTGGCAATATTACATAGCCATCTTTGCACTGTTAGTTAATTTAACGGCGTGTGTAACTTACGCTTCAAAAATCTGTTAAAAAAAATTCTGAACTGCGAGATTCCTCCTTTTTTTTAATCATTCTACAGCCAAAGTTTCATGCTTTTCCCGCCCATGAAACTGAACACATGTATCAAACATAAGCTTTAAATGTAAACAGTGGGTGCCAAGATTGATAGTGCCTAAACTCTCCCTATAAATTTATGCAAGAAGAGCATGAACTAAATACATGACCCCGACCAAGATGAAGTCCCAAGTTTTTACCAGGGAAAATGCCACAAATAGAAAGAAAAGAAGAGGACGAGCGGAACATAACAAGGACAAAGTTTTTAAGTTTCTCCTCGGGTTTTGAAAGGCACTAGCTTTCTGAAAAAGAAGAAACCTTTTATATTATACCAGTCAAGGAGCGCCCGCTACAACATGAACCCAAGCCCCTGTGCTGTAAAAAAGGAAATCACCATTGGAGCTGTTGACAACAAACAGAGCTTTTTTCCTTTCACGTGAGGACAGATGTGGAAGGAGAGAACCATGTGGTTTCTTTTCAATCAAAAGCAAAATGAAACTCCATCTGATTCCCAGCTTATCCTTTTTAATGACCCACTCAAGAAAGTTAACGACTTCCAAAGTTCACGTAAAGAAAAGAAAAACCAGCTTTTAAACTTATCCAAGAACCATTTATTTTAGTTACAGCCTCCTTTTTTTTTTCTTTTTGATGGAACCGAATCCTCAATCATGTTTGTGAACTTTTTTTTTTATGTTTTATTAGAAAAAAGGAAAAAAAAAAACTTAGAAAGGAGAACGTTCCTATATGTATAGGATATAATAACCATTTATGTCTTGTATTTCACGTGAAGAAACACATAGAAAATAAGGAATGACATTATGAAATGCTTGAGATGGGATCAAAGAAATCACCTTTTTTGGTTCTGAAGTTTATTTTGCTTCTTTTTCGCTGTACAGCCTTTCCTCGTTCTCTCTTTATTTTTTTTGGTTGTAGGGTTCTCCTTTTATAATTTCCTTCACTTTTGTGTTTCCGTAAACTTTTTCTTTCCTCTTTTTTTTACCCTTTTTTTCTTTCCTTTCCAGCCCCCGTTTCTTTTTCTCCTCCTTCTCATTTTAAAACCAGCCACCCTTCCACGTTCTTTTTTTCTTCCTTCTCCTTCTTTTGTAAAGAAGAAAGCCCGCTCAAAATATCTTGAAAGATTGAATATAAAACCTTTGGATTAAATCTCAACCAAGAGTCAATTTCTTTTTTTTTTTCAAAGATTAATCTGTAGCCATAGATCAAGATTCAATATAAAATTACTAGTCCACATTATTTACTGCCAAAATTATATTTTTATAGCCTTTAAACTACATGAAAATATTATTTTACCTTTAGTACAAAGTTTCAGATTTGGGCCATTTTTTTATAAATAATATTTCTCCATACTCATTTTGAGATTTTAAAGCACTACAAATTATGAAATATTATAAAATATAAAATTGAAATCTAAAAATTTTCATGAAAATCTGAGTTTGAAAAGGTCAAATTATGAAAATATCTCTAAAATGTATTTTTGTATTTTCACACCTTTCAATGTATTACTTGTGATTTAGAATGTACAAAAAATTATCAAATATCATGAAATTAATATATGAAAAGTTTTATGAAAACTGACATTGGGAATGTTAAATTATCAAAATACTCTTAAAAGTCATTTTGATAATTTTGTACTTTCTCAAATGCAATAAAAATTTTTAGTGCTTTAAAAAAATCATTAATTTTAACTTTAAATCACGTTGATTCTAATTAGGTTGTGAATTTTGAAGATTGAATTCGTTTCTATTCATTTTGATCAAATTGTACAATTTTAACTTTATTTGACTAATTTTAACACTATTAACTAAATTTGACTAGAATTGATTTTGGAGTTTACTTGCTTAATTTATTCTTT